ATGTGTGGCTGAAAAAGATATAGACGAAATAATAACGCACTATTTTCATCGAGGTTATCCTTATGACGTTAATAGATAGATTAAGCACCACGTATTTTTTTCCCGCAAACGGCAGAATTGGAATAGTCACAAGATTTCCAAGTCTTCATACAGTTCTGTTCATGGGGTACCAGATGTCATGTAATTTTTAACAGAATATCATGGACAACTGGCAGAGGACATGGAAGTATACTGCCAGAGTGAGATGGAAGACAATATATACATTGACTATTCTGATTATATTTTGAAACCAAAGGCTGGGTTTACCCCAGTACTGCTGGAGAGGCCCTAAGACTAGACAAAAAAATAATAGAATTGCAGAATAAATAAGTGAAAAAAGAAAAAAACACTGATTCAGGGCATATATTCTCAACTGAAGTACTTCACGGCTGGGTTGATTTTACACAGCTGGAAAAACTGTTTAATGATTCATTAACACAACACATTTATCAGTGCCAACATGTAAAGAATACCATTCTAATTTGTTGTTACATTATTAACAAAGTAACCAAACTATATTTACCAAGTGATATAATAGTTCTTTTGTGTATATAAGCTTTGATCAGCACATGAATGAACACTTTGTGGTTTTCAGTATCCATAGTTACATACAATTTACTGTAATCTGAAGCAGTAAGCCTCTTCATAAGTAGGCAAATCGGCGTCACTTTCACCACTGTTGTATGATTTCATAAACAGGGCATCCAAAATTGCTGTTTTCTTGCAAAGATATAAGGTAATCCGGTTGTAAGACTTCCCAAGTTCCTCTTTGTACCGCTGTAGTGTAAACGGTTCCATTCCCCCTACAAGGCACTTCACTTCGGTTGTATTGGGGTATAGCAACGCAAAAACTGGTGGCACCATATAAGTTTAAATCGCTGCTGAACTTAATCTTTTCGGTTCCTTTCAGAAGAAGCTCCTCGTACTTTTAGCGGCAATGTATACCCGTAGATTACTTACAGCTCTCCATCTTTTAACCTTATAAGGCCGATACGTATGGTCACTTCACTCTCGCTGTTCTCCTTTTCGCTTTCTTCACAGATTTCCTACTATAAAACCGCGAGCTTCGCTCCTTTCCTTTCCTTTCTCTATATTCCTCAAAGGTGAGTGGAGTGCTTTGATGTCGTTTTCTTTCTGAAGATTCCATTTCCAATTTAGCAACACTCAAAGAATCGTCATCATTTATTCCAATTGTTGACCCGCAACCATTACAAAAGTTTGGCCGCTGTGAGTAATCGTGAGCCACAGCCCGAGGAAAAAATTTGGCGAACAGCAAATTCGCGGGAAAAGCTCACTCTCCTCAGGCTCTGGAGAGTCTGGAGACGAATTTCCCCAGTCCCTTTAGCCGAGTGCGCGCGCATGATGAGTTCTCTCATTTGCAGCGTTCGTTTTTTGTTTGCAGCGTTCCTTTTTTGTTTGCAGCGCCTCTTTTTTGTTTGCAACGTCTCTTTTTTATTTGCCTAACTCATGGAT